GTGTCTTTTCCTTTTCTGTATCTTGTAAGGACATTTGTCATTGGTATGAATTAATCATACTTTTCAAATGTGAAAAAAAATCTCACGAGAGAACGTTTTATTCCTGGTCATATCTTACTTTCTTTTGCAGGGCTCTTTAGCACTTAAAGGCCATTTAGAAATGAACTTGGGGCATCTTTTACGATGAGATTTAAGAGCATGTTCTCTCTTCCTCACTTCATGTATTCTCCAGCTCTTCTACCTGCCCTTTCCCTCCAGGCATCAGAACTGGGAGCAGAGACTGTCTGAAGACAACAGATTGCTCTCAAAGGACAACTGCATAGGAGTTAGAACCTGTTAGCACTTAGGGCTTTGGAAAGGGTTCCAAGCATTTGCCCTTCTTGTCTGAGAAAGGAGCCCTAATTGACAAAATTATTTTCATTGTCTTTAAAAATGTGTTACATTTAGACCAGCACAAATTATTCAAGTTCCTCAATGAATCCTTCTCCCATCCCTTTTCCTTTTTACTAAAAATATAGAAGACATTTGGGTAGTGGGAGAATTTGAATTACGTATGATCTTTTCTTAATTTTTCAGTGTTTACAGATTAGGTAACTAAAATGGAGGCTTAGTTGATTATTCTAAACATAGGTGTGTGGGTCAGAATATGAAGCATTTTTAAGCCCCCTGGCCCCCGACAGACACAAATAAAGAACTGTCTTAAGATGTCTTTAAAGTGAAACTTACTTGCTTTTTCATTTAAGGAATACTAATCTTTACTATCTTATCCAGGATTAATATTTCATGATTCTATAAAATTTATTTAAGTTTTTATTCAGTAAGTTACAGAGTTAATTTGTACATATCCCCTATACTGTTTATAAATCCATTTGAAACCAAAGATTAATATTGATTGCCATTTTAACACATCTTTTATCTTTTTAAATCTTGAGGTAAATAATCTCCCCCTTCTAGACTGACTGCTGTATTAATTGTATCATGTGCCTTTTTGGCTTAAATATGTGATGTAACAAATAAAATTGCTGCCAACTCCAGCAATATTAGTTCTAGAGTGATTCCCATCAGCATTCCTTATATAAATTTCTATTTAGGAAATAATGTTTTCAATTTTTTGCATGTTTTAAAATTTACAGAATAGGTGGGAAAAAATTTTAGCACTAAAGCTTCATTTTTAAAAAATTTTTTTATTGTAATTTGGGTGAAAGTTTACAAAGCAAATTGGTTTTCCATTCAACAATTCATACACATTCTGTTTTGTGATGTTGACAGTCCCTACAATGTAACAGCAGTCTTCCCACTTCCTCCATTTCCTTTTGCCCTTCTTTCCTAGCCATTCCTGCCTTCTGAGCTTTGTTGTTGTTGTTGTTATGTGCTTTAACCCTAGGCAAATGCTGCCCTTTTAATAACTCTTATGGTTGATTGTTCTAAGAAGTGTGTACTTCTGGTGTTGTTGTTCGCCTCATAAGTGTGTCTGTTGTTTGGCTGAAAGTTGAACCACAGGAGTGAGCAGTCCCAGGCTTGAAGGATAACTAAGGGCCATAGTCTTGAGGGTGCTGTTAGTCACTGTCACACCAGTAAACCTAGTCTCTTTTATGATTTTGAGTTTTGTTCCACATTTTTCTCCTGTTCTATCCAGGATCTCCTAATGTGATTCCTTTTGGAGTAGTTGGCAGTAGAAGCCAGGCACTGTCTAGTTCTTCTGGTTTCAGGGTTGTGGAGGCCGAGGTTCCCATTGTCCACTATTCCTATGGACTAATAGTTTCCATTTGCCTTTGCTTTTCTTCATTCTTTGCTGTGGGTGAGGAGGGACTAATAGTTGCACCTTAGATGGCTATTGACAAGCGTTTAAGGTTCAACCGCTACTCACCAAAGTAGGATGTAGAACAGTATCTTTGTGGACTATGTTATGCCAACTAGCCTTAATGTCCTCTGCAACTATGGTCCTTAGCCCACAGGCCCAGCATCTTACTTCCTCAAGGTGTTTTGTTATGGCTAAGACATTTTCACAATTTTGCCCCATTAGCTCTGGTATATGTATGGACATTAATCCACACATACAAATACATATGTAGAAATATCATCTGCCAGACATGTATATGGTCATAAGTATAATCTGGTTCACCTACCCATTCCTGACAATCTTGCCTGTCTAACTGTGTATCCACTAATAGATTAATATTTGTAATTAATAATAATGCAGCATTGTGTGTGTAATAGTATTTACCTTTATTTTCTGTAACTCTTGTGCACCACTCCTTGTTTCCCTTTTCCTTAGTGATATTGTGCTGGTCACCCACTTTTTTTACATTGCCTTTTCCTTTATCCAAATTAATACATGTCTCTTACCTAGTGGGAGCCTAAGGCACTTGACTGCTAACCAGAAGGCTGGCAGTTCAAACCCACCAGCCATTTCTTGGAAGGAAGATGGGGCAATCTACTTCCGCAGTGATACTGCCTCAGAAACCCAGGGAGGGGTTGCTATGAGTCGGGTCCGACTTGACAGCACATAACAACAACAACAACAACTCTTACCTAGTGGCGTAGTGCCTAAGGCATTTGACTGCTAACCAGATGGCTGGTGGTTCAAACCCACCAGCCACTCCCTAGAAGGAAGGTTGGATAATCTACTTCCGTAGTGATACCGCCTCGGAAACCCAAGGAGGGGTCACTATGAGTCGGATCTGACTGGACGACAGTAAGTTTGGTTTTTTGGTTGCTTACTGTGATAGTTGAAGCTGTGTGTCAACTTGGCTGGACCACAGTTCTACGTGGTTAAAGCAATTGTAATGTGGGTTATTCCCATGATGGGATCGGATGTATATGTTTTGAGCAGCCAATTTGTTGAAAGGGAGTTTCCCTAGGGGTGTGGCCTGCCTCCAATATATTTATGAACATCCTGGGAAAAGAGACACTTTTCTGTGGTTTGGGATCCTATTGTGCTGCTTACAGCTGTCCATGAGCGAACAATCCACCATTCAACCTGGAGATCTTGGATTCGTCATTCGTTGGAGTCAACAGCTGGTATACTGCCTGCCAGCCTTGAGCTCTTCAGTCCCTGCAGCTGTGTGAGTTGGGAAAAGCCTCCAGCTTGACGTTTGATCCAAGAACCTGGGACTTGCCAGTTTCTATAAGTGTGTGAGCCATTTTCCTAAGATAAATTTCTCTTTCTCTATATGTATATATAAGCTTTACTGGTTTTACTTCTCTAGAGAACCTAGCCTAACACACTTAGTTATTAATTTTCCCTCCCTTCCGCTTTTCTCCTTTCCCTAGTAACCATTAATGTTTCTTTCCATGTGTAAGCCCTTCCTTGACTTTTTATAATAGTGGACTCATGTAATATTGGTCCTTTTGCAATTGACTTATTTCACTCACCATAATGTTCTCCAGGTTCATCTATGTTACAAGGTGTTTCATGGATTCCTCATTATTCTGTATGTCGTGCAGCATTCTATTGTCTGTATCTACCATAGTTTGGTTATCCATTCATCTATTGATGTGTCCTTAAGTTGTTTCCATCTCTTTGCTGTTACGAATAGTGCTGCATTTGTCTTTTTGTATCCTTGCTCTCACTTCTTTGGGACATATACCTAATAGTGGGGTTGTTGGATCAAATGGTATTTCTATTTCCAATTTTTTAAGGAAGCACCATACTGTTTGCCACATTGGTTGTACCATTTTATAGTCCCACCAGCCATGTATAAGAATTCCAATCTCTCCACACCCACATCAGCATTTGTTGTTTTCTGTCTTGTTGAATGTTGCTAGTATTACTGGGATGAGATGATAACTTACTATTGTTTTGATTTCCATCTCTCTAATGGCTAATGATCATGATTCATGTTTATTGGCTACCTGAATATCTTCTTTGGTGAAGTGTCTGTTCATATCCTCTATCCATTTTCTAATTAGATTTTTTTGTCTGTTTGATGTTGAGGGTTGAAGTTTTCTCTAAGTTTTAGAGATAAGTCCCATATCAGACATGTCTTTGCCAAATATTTTCCCCCAATCTGTACATTCTCTTTTTACTATTTTGGGGAGGTCTTTTGATGCACATAAGAATTTAATATTTAGAAAGTCTTAGTCATCTAGTTTGGGAGCTCTGGTAGCATAGTGCCTAAGGCACTTGACTGCTAACCAGAAGGCTGGTGGTTCAAACCCACCAGCTACTCCTTGGAAGGAAGATGGGGCAATCTACTTCCATAGTGATACTGCCTCGGAAACCCAAGGAGGGGTTGCTATGTGTTGTATCTGACTTGATGGCACATAACAACAGCAACAACAACAGTCATCTAGTTTGGTTGTGTTTGATAGTCTATTTGTGCCATGAATTTGTTGTTGTTGTTGTTGTGATGTGCCGTCGAGTCGGACCCGACTCATAGCGACCCCTCCTTGAATTTCCAAGGCAGTAGGGCCCTGCAAATTTGCCCCTATTTTTTCTTGGATGATCTTTCATCCACCTTGAGTTAATATTTGTATATGGTATGAGATAGGGATCTTGTTTCATTTTTCTGCAAATGGATATCCAGCTTTGCTAGCACCATTTGTTAAAGAGGCTTTTCTCCCACTTAATGGATTCTAGCCCTTTGTCAAAGATCAGCTTCATTTTTGACATTGAAAATTGTGAATATTTACCAAAATTTAAAATTAAACATGAGAAAAATTATTTAAGAATCTGGCCCTTTAAGGCCAAATAGTTATGTAAACAGTAAAAATGAAGTGTAAATGCAATGCAATTTCACAGAAAGACTGACCATAATAGAAACAACAATATTAGCTTTTTTTTTCCCTTCAGATTATATGTTGTTGTTGTTGTTATATGCCGTCGACTCGGCCCCAACTCATAGCGACCCCTCCTTGGGTTTCCGAGGCAGTATCACTATGGAAGTAGGATTGCCCAACCTTCCTTCCGAGGAGTGGCTGGTGGGTTTGAACCGCCAGCCTTCTGGTTAGCAGTCAAGTGCCATCTATCTTTTATTCTTATTTGTTTTTCTCCCTAGGTGAACATGTCAAACCTTTTACACCAGAGAAAGCAAAAGAAATTATAATGTCTTTGCAACAACCTGCAGTCTTCTGTAACATGGTTTTTGATTGGCCAGCACGACACTGGAACGTTAAACGCCTTTCTGAGGTCCTTCATGGAAAGCAGATACGATTCAGAATGGGAATGAAAAACACAGATACAAGTAAGACTATAATTAATCATCATAATAATGTCTCTTCAACAGCTTTCCTACTTCTCAGCAGTGGTTTCCTTGTCTTTAGAGGATCTTTTATTTCTGACTCTCTTTTTGACCACTCTACGGAGATGAAAATTTATTGAAAGTTTTAGGACAGTTTAGCCTCGGGGTTGATTTGCTTGTTTTCAAAACTAAACAGTCTATAATTTATAATACGTATTTGTTCACGTATTTGTGTATGTATATTGCTAACACTGTGCAAAAGGTTAAACACTCAACTACTAGCTGAAGGGTTGGTGGTTTGAACCTACCTGGAGGTGCTTCAGAAGAGAGGCCTGACGATTGCTTCTGAAAGGTCACAGTCTTGAAAACCCTCCAGAGCAATTCTACTGCGCACCCATGGGGTTGCCATGAGTCAGAGTCAACTCAGTGGCAACTAACAACATGAATATACTAGATACTTAATAGGTACATGTTCTGAGGCTCCTCTGGGTGGGTTCAGACTGCCAACCTCTCTATTAGCAATCAGACGCCTGACCATTTGCCCAACCCAATGATTCTAACATTTGTTAATGTGCTATTATTTATATTCCCATGTGATTGGGGGAAAAAAAATGGACTAGTAGCCCTACTTCTGACTCATATGGAATGTGCCCTTTTATTTGTGGCTCCAGATGCTATTTATAGTGCTTAGTCTTGGTTGCAATTTTATCCCTCTGCTCCCTGACCTGTATTTGCACGAAACACGAAACATAAGCAAAGCTTCTTTTTTCATTCTCTTAAGGAGTTCAGTTTTGCCTTTTCCCTCTTCTTCCCTGAAAATTTGTAACTTACATTTCATTTTTGCCATCTAGTGAGATAAAGTAGTAACTGTTAACTTTAAAATTTAGTTAATATAAAGCGAAAAAAACAGGGCTGTTCCTAATGTAATGGGCTTCAAAACCTCAAGGTTGTCTAACTTCAGAATATGTGTTTAACTTGTATTTAAATATGAGTAAGTTTACTAGTCTTAGAAATTTAGTGTTTTAAAAAAGCTTTGTGATAAAGTTGCTCTGTGATATCTATTAACGATTCAAGAGGTACTAGAAAATGACCTAACTTGCCTTCCAGCTTCTCCAGGTTTCCTTCTCTCATGGTGACCTGCAGCATATCTCGTAGAATTAAGTACCTGTTTTTTGGTGTCTAGAACCCCTTTATACTCCCATGACAAGTGTGAAACCAGTTACTGTTGAGTCAGTTCAACTGTGCTTGCAGAGGAGCCTTGCCCTCCGTTGGTTCTCATGGTTGCCACTGTTTGGAAATAGATTGCCAAGCCTTTCTTCTGTGTGGCCTTGAACTGCCAAGTTTTCAGTTAGTAGCTCAGCACTTAACTGTTTGCACCACCCAGAGACTGACTCCTCATGATAGGTATATTAGGATTAATGTACTGAAACTCTTCAGCGTCTCATACTTATCACAGACTGAAATGTATACTATTTTAACATTAAATGCTAGATCAACAATAACAAAAAAAATCAGCTCATGCTTTTACCTTTTTTAATTTTAATCAAATAAATATGCCACTCATTGTAGAATCTGTTAGACACTAACTTGGAGAGAAACAGGAATTGTAATTTTTTCACATTCTGATTAGACTCTAAATACAATACTACTACTAATAGTTCTTTCTCTCTCTCACTGCCGTCAAGTTGGATCTGAGTGATAGTGACCCTTCCTTAGGTTTCTGAGGCAGTATCACTACGAAAGTAGATTGCCCAACCTTCCTTCTGAGGAGTGGCTGGGGGGTTTGAACCACCAGCCTTCTGGTTAGCAGTCAAGTGCCTTAGGCACTATGCTACCAGAGATTTATTAATAAGTATTGTGTCGGGCAGTGTTCTGAGCACTTTACATGTATTTACTCTCTTAATCTTCTTGAAACCTTCTTCTTCTTAGGTGCCGTTGAGTCGGTTTTAACTCACAGTAACCTTATATGACAGAACTGCCCCATAAGGTTATCTAGGCTGTGATCTTTACAGGAGCAGATCACCAGATCTTTCTCCCATGGACCCACAAGGTGGGTTTGAACTCCAACCTTTAGGTTACCCAACTGCTTAACCACTGAACCACCAAAGGTCCTTTCAAAACCTTCTTATGACGGTACTATTAAGATTCCATTTTATAGCTAAGCCCTAGTAATTTAATATTTTCAAATTAATACTTAAGGTTTAAAGAAAAAGAAAGTAAAATTAATCTCTACAGTTGTGAGAAACACCTCTTGAGTACAGATGATCATTTATTCCTTTTTTAATTGAAATAAAATTCATAAATATAAAATGTATTGTGTTAGCCATTTTGAAGTGTAAAACTCAGTGGTTTTTAATATAGTCACAATATTGTGCAACCATTGCCACTATCTAGTTCCAGAACATTTTCAACACCCCCAAAAAAAGTGCCATATCTCTGAAGCAGTCTTTCTTCATTCCCCCATCCTCCCTCTTCCTAACAACTTCTTCAGTGGATGTGCCTATTCTGGGGATCTTATATAAATGACATTGTACAATATGTAGCATTTTACGCCTGGCTTCTTTCACTTAGTATAGTGTTTTCAACAACAAAAAAAATGTTTTCAAGGTTCATCAATGTGGTAGCATGTAGCACTACATCCTTTTTCTGGCTGTGTCGTTTTCACTGTATGGACATACCACATTTTGTCTATGCATTCATCAGTTGATGGTCATTTGGGTTACTTACACTTTTTAGCAATTATGAATAATGCTGCTATGAACATTTGTGTGTAAGTTTTTTGTGAATGTTTGTTTTCAGTTCTCTTGGATATATACCTAGAAGTAGAGTTGCTAGGTCATAGGACAACTCTGTTTAATCTTTTGAGGAGCTGCCGAACTGTTTCCCAAAGCAGCTGCATTATTTTCCATTCCTACTAGCAGTATATGAAGGTTTCAATTTCCCCATATACTCCCTAACACTTTTATTTTCTGTTTTTAAAATTATAGCCATCCTAGTAGGTGTGACCACTGTCCATCAGTTTGTTGTACTGTGGTGGCTTGTGTGTTGCTATGATGCTGGAACCTATGCCACTGGTATTTCATATATTAGCAGGGTCACCCAGGGACAGGTTTCAGTGGAGCTTCCAGACTAAGACTAGGAAGAAGGGCCTGGTGATTTATGATTTACATCAGAAAATTAGCGAGAATCCTATGGATCAGAACAGAATATTGTCCAACTGAACTCAGACATGCCGATGCTTGTGAAGCATAGGACAAGGCAACATTTCATTCTATTATACATCGTGTCACAGGATACGGAGCTGACTGGGGGGAAGCTAGAGCTCGGGTAGCACAGTGCCTAAGGCATCTGATGACTAACTAGAAGATTGGTGGTTCAAACCCACCAGCCACTCCTCGGAAGGAAGGTTGAGCGATCTCCTTCTGTAGTGATACCACCTTGGAAACCCAAGGAGGGGTCACTATGAGTTGGAACCCACTCCACAGCAGTGAGTGAGAGTTTGAATGAATAATGAAAGGAGCTCTGGTGGCACAGTGGTTAAGGCATTCACCTGCTAACCAAAAAGTCAGTGATTCAAACCCACCTGCTGTTTCATGGGAGAAAGATGATGCAATCTGCTTCCGTAAAGATTACAGCCTTGGAAACCCTGTGGGGCAATTCTACTCTGTCCTGTAGGGTTGCTATGAGTCAGAATTGATTTGATGTCAGTGGGTTTGGTTTGGTTTGAAATGACTAATGATGTGGATCATCTTTTCATGTACTTATTGGCCATTTGTATATCTTTGGAGAAATATCTTTTCAAATCCTTTATCCTTTTTTAAAACTGAGCTGTCTTTTTGTTGTTGCATTTTTAAAATTATTTTTCTGTATTCTAGATACTAGACCCTTATTAAATATATAAGTTCCAAATATTTTCTCCCATATGGGGGTTGTCTTGATAATTTGTTCATTTAAAGGTTATTTTCTTGAATAAAAACTCAGTATCCTCCCAAACAGTATAAACACAAAAAACACAACCATTGCCGTGGAGTTGAATCTGACTCATAGTGACCCCTCCTTGGGTTTCCAAGGCAGTATCACTATGGAAGTTGATTGACCAACCTTCCTTCTGAGGCCCCAAACAGTATAGGTTAGTGGTAAAAGAGCTGATTCTAGAATCAAATTCTGGCTTACTGTGAGACCTTAGAAGGATAAGGCATTTGGCCACTAACCAACAGGTTGGCAGTTTAAACCTATCAGCTACCCCATGGGAGAAAGATAAGGCAGTCTGCTTCCATAAAGACTTATAGCCTTGGAAACCCTATGGTACAGTTCTAGTCTATCTTAGGGGGTCACTATGAGTCAGAACTGACTCAATGGCAGTGGGTTTGGTTTTTTGGTGAGACCTGGGGGGCATTACTTTTCTGTATCTTAGAAATGTTTTCAAGATTAAATACATTCACATACAGTACTGCGTTGTCAATGATGGCAAACATTGATACAAGGGTGGATAGATGAGTGTACAGGCTGAACAATTAGATATGGCTATGCAGGGAGTAGTGTGCCCGTGACCATGTATAGAGTTGACAGTGTGTCTACAAGTGTATTGGTATGTTCTGTAAGAATTCCCAGGTATATAGTAGAGCTGACAAGGGACAAGGTTGTACTCACTTCTTGGCCATAGCCAGCTACCCAGAGGGAGTGAGTAGTTGGACCTGTGGGCTCAGGACCATGGTCACAGGGGACATCAAGCTCAATTGGTATAACGTACTACACAAAAACATTGTCCCATTTCCTACTTTGGCAAGTAGTGAGTAGGATCTTAAAAGCTTATAAGTGGCCCTCTAGATGCAACAATGGGTCTCTCCTCGTCCAGAACAAAAAAGAATGAAGAAAACCAAAGACACATGGAAACAATTAGTCCAAGGTACTAGTACACCATGCAATCTTCAGCCTATACAACTATGAGACCAGAAGAACTAGATGGTGTCAACCACTAGGAGGGGAATCTATGTAGGAGATCC